TCTTTGAAGCATTTTCTTGGTTGTGGAGTGATGTGGGAGGGCCCAGGCCCATCCCACTGTGCGTAATGCCACCCTTGGGCAGGTGGTCCTGGGTTGCATAAGAAAGCAAGCTGAGCATAGGCCAGAGGAAAGCCAGTAAACAGTAATCCTCTGTGGTCCATGCTTCACTTCCTGCCTCCAGACTCCTGCTCTGGGTTCCTGCCTGGCTTCCTTCAAAGATGGACTGTGACTTGGAAATGTAAGATGCAATAAACCTCTCCCCCCCGAAGTTGTTTTTGGTCAGTGTTTTATCAAAGCAATAAAAAGCAATCTAGGATACCTCCCAAATTTGAAATTGTCAACATAACCATTTGAAATAAGTGGTCTTTATAATAAATGGGCTCTGCTCTTAGGACAAACATTTACAGTAAAGTTGGAAAGACATAAACATAGACATAAAAACATCAAATTGGTTAGAGAAGTTATCTTCCTAAGATTAAACAATGGTGTTCTCTGAGAAGGATGGATAAATATGCAATGTGACTTCTCAAAGTATCAAGAATCATTTGATACTGTGATCTCACTCCGTACATTAAAACTTCAGTAAGTTCTCAATATTACCATCCAACTACCATAGCTGAAGTTGTACAGCAATCCTTCCCACAGCTTAAAATACAGGTTTGAGGATTTGTTCCTCAGGGGTCACATGGGCTTAGGAGGAGCCCCTGGCTCCTTTCTTTTACCAGTTCCTCCTATGTGAAGATAAGTCAAAGGTTCTGCTCGGCCATGGTTGGCTTCTCTTGGAAGCATGAAAGAAATGATTCCTCTGTGTTGACCCTCCTCTTTATAGACTGGACACTGGTTCAAGTCCATCTTGTGGGGTCTCCTCTGCCTCCTTGATAAAGAGGACAGGTGACCCACTGCCATTATAGCACATTTTGAGAGATGCTCATAGTCCCCTGGAACTAGTCGACCTAGGAGGGCAAGGAGCAAAAAGTGTCTTTTATGTCCCTCTGACAAAATTATTATAGGCCTCAAAGTTTGTCTGTTAAACACCCAAGAAGGTTCATTCCACCAGTCTGGTATTTTTAATTACTGTGTGTCATGTAGATATCTTGGGCAAAGACCAGTTGAGTAAAAATAAATCAGTTTATCTGGTCCAACTGTATGGCCTTAAATACCTGAAAGGAAAGCATAACCAAAGATTAAAGGGGCCAATATAATTTCATAAGAGTCCATATGTATAGCTAAAGGCTACATAACAAGCAACAATGCCAGACAGGTGATACCTTCTTTTGAGTTGTTGGCCAGAGTAGCCAAAGGGATTCCAAGATAGTAACCCAGCATAGAACTAGGAAAATGAACAGCAGACCCCAATCTTATCCAAAGGAATATTGACAACTGATACCGCTAGATGAGGAACAGCTGACCATCCTAAAACAAAGACCTCTAGATAGGCTGACTAGATTCACCAGAAGGGCAAGTAGTGGGGAATGGCTGGGGGTCCCAACAACACAGCGGACAGTAGCAGGGATATCAGAGTATAAGGGCTCTAGTCAGGGGAGGGAGGCTATGGGAGGGTGCTATCTGGGAAGTGGGTGTAAAAATAAATTAATTAAAAAAGAATACAAGTTGACAGATGTGGTAGACAGAATACTGATCCCTCCAAAGAGTTTTCACATCCTAATCCCTGAAGCCTGTGATGAACTAACTATTCATGGCAAAGGGAAATGAATTGGCTTTGCAGATGGAATCAGGTGTGATAATCAGTGAACTTAACAATTGGAAGATTTTTCCAATATTTTCCAGGTGGGTTCAAAACAATTATCTACACCATTAAAAATAGGACAAAGAGGCAAAAGAGGGGAAAAGACAGTGACAGCAGCCTGAGAAGGAATCAGCCCCAGTGTTACTGGCCTTGAAGATGGAGGGATGGTGCCACAAGTCAAGGAATGAAGACCCTTGTGGAAGCTGTAAAAGCAAGGAAAGAGGTTTTGCCAGATCTTCCAGAAGGGCTACAATCTTTCTGATTTTGTTATATTGGCTCATTGAAGCCTATTTCAGACTTCAGTGCTCCAGACTTTAAGATAACAAATTTGTTATTAATGGAAATTGGTTAAAACAGCAACATAAAACGAGTGTAAAAAAATTCCTGATGTTTATAAGCTACATGTGGGTATGCATTAAATACACCCCAAATAGAGACCAACAAGAACTAGAAAATTGTTTGTTAGTAGATACCCTCCAATGATTATTACTTAGTATGAAATATGTTCCAGTGTTGTGGGGCCACCATCACTTACTGTCATACTTAGTTTTAACTGGCAGCTTAATACAAACCTAGTCACATGGGAAGATGGAACCTCGATTTAAATTTTTCCTCCATCAGATTGGCCTGTGGGCATGTCTGTGGGGCAGTTTCTTGATTGGTGTTTGATGTAGGAGACCCAGCCACTGTGGGCGGCACCATCCCTAGGCAGATAGGCCTGGGCTACATAAGAAAGCTGGCTGAGCCTGAGCCTGAAAGCAACTCAGTAAGCAGTGTTCCTCCATGGTCTCTGCTTCAGTTCCACCTGCGTTCCTGCCCTGGCTTCCCTCAATTTTGGCCTGTAACCTGTAAGTGAAAATAAACCTTTTCCTCTCTAAAATGCTTTTGGTCATATCACAGCAGCAGAAGCAAACTAGAACACTTGCTGACATAAAGAGAAAGAGTCTAGTAACTGGATCAAAGGCTTTACCCCAGAAGATCCCTTACAAATAAATGAGAACGATGTCAAATTAATAAATGGGCAAGGAACCTGCATATAATTCACATAGGCATGACTAATGAAATATGAAAATGCATCAGTAGAAGCTATGGCAAAATAACGAAGTAAGATTTTATTTTATGGATAGATTTTTTTGATGTAAATATTCTCTACTACTAAAGCTATCAAAATAAAAATATTGTTTTACTACTCTGGTAGAATAAGAGATACTATAATTTATTTTGTTTGTATATGAATAACTCAAAATAATTGTATTTTTTATTGTATTGGATGTTTCAAAATAGCTAGAAGACAGGCATTTGATGTTCTTACCACAGGGAAATGATACAGACTTTTGAAAATCAAGTCAATTATTGTAAAAATAAACAATAGAAATATTTAATAGTATTTTTGCCATGATAATTTTACCTCTGGGAAATAAAATACAGAAATAGAGATAAAAGAGAAACACAGAAAAAGTGTTAATATTTGTCATATTTATAATTTGAAATGACTTAATAGAATATTGTACGTGATAATACATACAAATGATTGATATTTATGTGGGCATGAATAAGTAACTCTATGAGGAGTATTAATTTGGGTCCTAAGACTACCACTGTGACATAGCAACAATGTCAAAGAAGATGAGGGGAACCTCCTAGAAGGCTGTTAGTGATGGGGCTATGAGCCATTTCCTTTATCTGTATGCAACTGATTTCCAGGATGAGCTGAATGTGGTAGAGGCCAATCAAAAGACAATTTTACTCACTCTTCCTCTGCCACTTCAGGCACATACTAAGACCCTGTTTCATCTCACTTTTTGGATCCTATTTGAAACTGAATTTACAGTTTCTTGGCCTCCTGGAGGTGTCAAATTTTCTGATCCAGGCACGTAAGCTCTCAGCTCTGCAACTTGAGCCCTGATTTCAGTGTGCAGGTGTGCAGTAAGAAGGGGACACACAGCTAGCTGCTGTCAGCTCGTCTCACCCCACATTGTCACTAGCTGGTTATTGAATACAGGGAATGAATTAGGAGTGATGGTGACATAGAGGGAAAGATCTGAACATGACTGGCTCATGTGTCCTCTGAACATGAAAATTTCCACAAGCTGGTGTTTCCTCTGGAAGGTGATTTTATGGGTACTTCAGAATCTTAGTCTACCCCTCTTTCTGGATCCTGACCTGTGTCTCTGATTTATCATCCTACCGACTGGCCACTTAACACTCCTGCTCGCCTTTTGTACTCAAAGCACCAGCAGTCATTCTCTCCATAAGCACAAGTCTTACAGGCCTTACCTCCTAACTCACACTCAGCCTCTCTGTACTGCTTGGTCTTTATATACCTGGTCTTGGACAGTATTACAAGCCTGGGTCATGGGCAATTGGATACCCAACATGTATGGTTCTTTGCAGTGGGGCACTTATCCTTTGATACTGGGGCTATCAGAAAACAACTTCCTTTTCAGTGTTTTTCTACAGTGAGAATAGGAGGAGAAAACAGGCTTTGATGGTGGAGAAAAGGACCAGAAGACAGACTACAACAGGCAGTGAGGCAGCGGTTTTTTACCCTATCAAAGAACCCAAGGAATTTTAGACCAGCTGAGATTCACTGACAATCTTACCCTCCAAGAATTGTGTCCCTGGCTGTGTAGGACAGAAATCATCTCCCCAGTATAATAAGTGCATAAAACAATGTGAAAAGCTGTAAAGCAACTTTGTGTTGGCATTTATATTTTGAAACAGTAGTATCTAAAGTATAAATTATCTCTTCTATTTCATTTACCACTAACTAATCACCAGAAAGTTAATGCATTTTCTTATTGTATAATTAACTAAACAATTTAGTAGTAGACAGAATTTACATTCTGAGTATTTTAAATAATTAAATAGATTGCTATTTAATTTATAAACAACATGTTTTGAGTCCTTTTCTCTCTCTTAAACATTAAAACAGTTGTAGGAATAATGAATGTAGTACAAATGCTCTATAAATAGGGAAAAACTAAAATATATATTAGGAATAATTTGTTAGGTTTTACAAATCCCAAATCAAAGTCTAAGTGAAATATCTAGAAACCGCTTTTATGTCTCATTTCTATGTACTTTTTAGGAGGCTATTTAAGTGACTGATTTATGAAAAGTGTCTTTTAAATCAGAGCTATGATTTAGAAATAAATTTTTTTCTATCACCATTCATGGAAGTTATTGATATTTATTCTTTAGTAGATTATATATTGGCATAAACTCTTAAAGTGCATCTTTTTCTTTGCAGCTGGTTGGTTTTGTGTATGCCTGTTATGTGATCAGTATTTCCATGGAAGAAGAAGACACCTGTAAGTATAGTTACATCCCTAGGGGTTCTCTTTGGGTGAGATATAGCTTCCTAAGTGCCATTACAGGGCCAGGAAATCCTCCTTCTTAAGAATCTAAAATGACTGAACTCAGCATAGTAAAGTTATAATCAGAGGTTGATAAACTAAGCCTCACACAAGCAAGATGACACTAAGCACGGAAACTCTGGATACGCATTGCACAAGAGTGTATGTGGAAACCGGGGACTGCTGTCAACCCGTGTTGGAGTGATTTTCCAGCAGAAACCTAAGCAATGTGCTCAGTATGTAATCAGGGGTTATACTGTCCATCACCAGTTGGGCGTATGCTGGTGGCAGAATTATTGCAATAATAGCAATAGAATACATTTTAACAAGATCTTTAAGTATATAAATTATGTAAAATGATATGAGACAACTTAAAATTACAACCTTCGGTGTGGAATTTTTTAATATTAAATACTAAAAATATTCATGGCATGTGTAGAAACTAAATTGTAACCTAGTATCCAAATAAATGGCATATTATGACTCAAAGTTCTGTTTTAGAGACTGTCAACACAGGTAAACAAATGCCATTTATTGAACACCTGCAAATGTATAAGGCACTTTCCACACAACTCTCTGTGGGTTCATGTAATACAAAAGTAAACTTTAACCTGTTTTTAAAGCTGAATTATATTAGATAAATCACACTTATCAGTTTCCATTGTTGTCTGAAGTGCTTAAAATAGTCCTTTTAACAAAATGAGGATATAAAACTAGCCATTATAATGACTTTCTAGAACACAGTTCCGAAGGGTATGGTAAATGGCCCCACCAAATAGATGCTGGCATGACATATGAAATGAAACTCATGTTGATGGGATTTCATCTCAGTTAACTGAAAAAATACAAGGGATAGTAGACCTTGAGGTTAAAGGTATCAAGCGATGAAAATGAGCTATCATATTACACCGTGTTTTATGTTTACTTGGGGATATTTTGCTTTTAATACAGATAAAAAAGAACTTCTGACACTACAAAAGTACAGTTAAAATAGCAACACATTTTACTTGGAAGTCAACTTCTGAGATGACCACTGTAGAAGTTGTATTTGTTATTATGCAGACTTACAAAGTTAAGGTACCGACAGCAGGAAGTTTCACCTCCCAGCTAAAACCAACCACACAGCCAGAAAAAAATTGGTTGAGCAGGAATTTTAACTGGAACTGGGACTCCAAAGAAGTTGAACTTGGGACTGAATAAATACTTCAATTGATACATTGCTAAATCCCAACTGAATTTCCTACAAAGCATTTTGAATAGCCGTCCGCTATCCTTATCCCACAAAAAGGTATCTTCTCTCTTCTAGCTCATTCAACAGGCTGGGAGGTCTCCAAACATTTCAATACTCAGTCCAGCCTTCTTGCAGCAGAGAAAACAGAATAATCAGTAGTTTTTTGTCTAATGCAATAAATATAGAAAAAGGTTTCCTCCAGGCTTGTGATTTTAAGTGAAACCAGGAAACACATAATGACATGCAAAATAGGAGGCTCACCTACAGTAAGTAGATGCTTTAGACCTTCTATCAGCCTTCCTTTAGGGCAATAATGTCCGTGGACATGGACTGTATTGCTACTGGCAGATATTATAGTTCCATTGACTTTGATGCCTTTAATTAAGTTAAGTTTCTCTATAGGAATCCCTGAATCAACTAACATAATACCCATCAAACTAGGATAGAAGCAGCTGCTCACAGCCTAGTCTATTGATGGATTATTCCAGTCTTTGTTATTAGGGCCATACATCTGGATATAGTTGTGCTGCTATCGATTTCAATACTACTTAGAGTCAAAAGGAGTCAAAACAAAGTAAATATACCCAACATAACAGAATAATCTTCTGGAAGAGGGGTGGTAGTGAAAAGTCACCACAAACCTTTTAGCCTGATAGTTCCCAAGCCAGGGTAATTGTGCACTTTGTGGAAACTAGGAACCAAAAGCAAGGGTGTAATTAACTGTCCCAGAGTATTCAGAAGGCAAATGTGAGTGAAAAGTAACATCTCCGGCCAATTGTAATGATCTCATAGGCCATCACAATTGGGGCCAACACTTTCGCTTCTAGGTGCAGTAGCGAATGCTCTTTGGAAATGACATTACTGACACACAGTCAGGAAGAGCATGTCCTCTGAATTATTTTTCAAAAATTTAAACATAAAATAAGGAAACAATGCTGGTATATTTTACAGTTTATCTGTTTATGCCTGAAAAGCTCATTCAGAAAGATGGCTGCAAAGATAATGTAATGTCATGGTATTTTGGCAGATCCTGTGTCATTTGTCATTTTGATTTCTATTCAAACTAATGAAAATCTATACATTATTCAGAATGCAAAGTTAAGCCTTATTCTTGGACTGAAAGCTGCCAGCCAGTGTTAAAAATTAATAGCGGCTCTGCTTCTCTCCTCTGCTCTACTTACGTAGTCTGTAGAGTTAACTAGCACTTCAGATGGACATTTCTAAAGGGTAATAAATGCTTGAAGAAACCTTCATTTCCATCCATCTTCCCAGCTATTTCTCAACCTCTTTACTGTTTTATATAAAGATTATGATCACAGGTCAAAGACAAAGAGATAAACCTGACAAAATCAGAGTACTGGGTGGGGTCTGTGATTTTCCTTATTTGTCCTAATGAAAAGTCAGTGTATGTGTCTTCCTTTTCATTTATCAATCTCTATAAGACTTCCATGAAATCAGGATCTTTGGAATTATGTGATCATAAATACATGCCAATGTTCTGCTTGTGAATCATCTGCTACTGAAATGAAACTTCCAGTGTGTTAGTGTCTTGTCAGACTTAGAAAAAGAATGCTTTTGCTTCAAGGAAGTGTGGAGATGAAGCAGCATATACTGAAAAGTAGTGGCTAGTTTGGATAAATAGTGCCAGGCTTTCTCGAAGAATCTCTTCTAGCCCTGAGTTTCATATTGGGTTGCAAATTACACCTGGGACATTGATTTGGGCTCAGCAAATCTCAAGTTTAGTCTATCATATGTTGAATGGTAGAAAACAAAGGTACATTGAAAATACTAAGAATTGGGGCTGGAGAGATGGCTTAACAGTTAAGAGCACTGGCTGCTCTTGCAAAGGACCTGGGTTCAATTCCCAGCACCCACATGGTGACTAACAACCATTCATAACCAGTTCCAGGGGAATCTGATGCCTTCTTCTGACCTCCACAGGAATTGCACAACACTGGTGCGCTCTCATGCAGGCAGTACACTCATACACATAACATAAAAATGAAAATAAAAAGGTTAAAAAAGAAAACCCTAAAAACTTATTAGAAGGAAATGAGCTGAGGGGCCTGATGGAGTATGTCTATCATCTCAGCATTTGAGAGGTAGAAGCAAGTGAATCTCTGTGAGATTGAGGCTAACCTGGTCTACACATAGTGATTACCAGACTGGCCAATGTTATATAGTAAGACCCTGTCAAATAAAAAAGAAAAAGAAAAGAAAAGAAGCTCAGATTTGGCTTTCACATTTTATATTTGAAAGCTACAAAAATTTCTTCATACAGCTATTTGGTCCTTTCCAGTGCACCTGTATGGAACTTTCATCAGCAAGAATTGTGACTATTATGAAATCTTGATGTAGTGATGCACATGTGTACTCCTAGCATGCCTGTGGCTATGGGAAATGGGAGTCTGATAAAAGAGAATCTCCAGAAGGCTGCAGGACACCTGGCTGGACATATGTATCTATGAAGAAGAGACTGTGCCTCAAACAAGGGGGAGGATGAGGACCACACTTAAGATTCTCTTCTGATCTTCACACATATGCTGTGGCATGTGCAAACCTGAACACACAGACACATAGACATACACACACACACACACACACACAAGAAAAAATAATTTTTACATCACATTCAATAAAGAAATGATTGTGGAATTCTGATTGTTAAATAGTTCTCTAGGCCTGCCCAGTTTTTCAGAATGAATTTCAAATCCTTAAGATGCTCTACACTGAGGAGCTGACACCACCTATGTTTGAAGTTTCCTGGGAAGCTAAAACATTTACAGGTGTTTATGTGAAGCAGGTCCTGCATTTCATTCATATAAGATGGACTTCTGGTGATTATAAAGGTCAGGATATAAAGAGATTGATTAATCCCTCCCACATTAAAACAAGAGCTTATTTATTTTGCAAAACTGGAGGAAACAAGGCAGGAGATCTGTCACTGAGTTACAGCCTGGGCACATAAGCTTAATTTTGTGGATTCCCAGACAAGATTTGACTGGGGAAAGAGAGACTTGGGAGGTAAATGCACCCTGAGGCAGGCATTTGCGAATGAACACATCTGCTAAATAAGGAGCAGAACTACCATAAAATACTGGGGACCTTCAGGTAGTAACCTCACCTAGCCATCTATAGTAAGGCCAGGCAGCAGGGGAAGAGTCTGGGCTGGCATGCTGTGGTAGAGACAGGACACCAGTCCCCATAAGACAGTTTCTCCAAGTTATAGTATAGTAACAAGAACAGTAACAAGCCCATAGGAACCCAAAACACAAGCCAAACATGAGTCTCCACAGGGTGAGACAGAGAAACCATTTCATCAAAACCAGATCCAAAGTGAGAGCCAAAATCAATGTCAAGCAGAGCTTAGGCTGCTGTCCAGCACAGTCAGGGCTCCCATAGCTCTGCCTGGGGCCCAGGGGACTGTCTGCACTATGTGTTCTGTCCTCCTCATCTTCAGCCACATCCATTCCTAGATCTACTGAGCCTTTGCATATTCAAACCTTGGGGGAGGCCTCCTCCTTCTGTCTCCCACTGACACACGGTCCATCCCTTCTGAGTTTAACTGCCCTTTCCCAAATCGCACCACTTTCTTCTCCTCTTAAAGGCTAGATCAGGGGACCTGTGATATGTTGTCATGTGTTTTCTTGACACCTTGTGTTTTCCTTAGAAACGGTTACCACAACTGTAATTTTCTAAGAAAGTGATATTTACCACATTCAAC